TTCAATCCTCGAAAACGGATTAAAATTTGTTCTTTCTTTTCGACGCATCTTTACACACAGAATCACTTCCCAGTTAGTTGACCACAAGTCGGGAGACTATAAAATAACTATAATTCGCGCATAAAGCGCAAATGACGTCAGATCGTTGTCGACATCTTTTTCGTTGAAGAAACTTATTTCTGCGATCATTTTGGCAAGGAAGATACATGGAAATTTCAGCTCGGTTTTGCATTCGAGACCAAATATAATTCGACAAGGAACATTTCATTGCGAAAGGCTTAACGCTAGAATTATAAAAAAAAAAAAAAAATTGTTGGATACTTTATAGATACAAAACAGTGTATTCTTGGAGACTTGAATGAGTCTTCGTAAAATACATAAATAAAAAAAATGCTTGTGTACTCCATCGTGTTTCGCATAAAATTGCTCCATCATTTTAGTGCCTCTGATGGAAATTTTATGCTTTAGACCGTCGTTAGGTAGTTCTAGCGTTAACAACAGCATGAATATTTTCACTTTTCATCGCACACGTGCAGAAAAGGAAAACGTAAAAATTTTGATTAAAAATCACTCGCAGGCACCTGTCGAAATTTCTTTTTTTTGAAAATTCGAATCTTCGAGATGTGCTACTCGTCCGTTGAAACTCGCGAGAATGTCGACGTCGATCTGACATCGTTCGCGTGCCACGCCGGTAGACGAGCGACGATCGGGTTGAAACAAGACAAGCGGGGTGAAAGTTGCTCGTGCGTCTGAAATTTGCATCTTGTTCCCGGCGCGATGCACCAACCACTCGCACTTGCAAGCACACAAAGTGACACACAGCGAGACACATCAAGATTTGCACTAAATTTGAAACGGGGTATGGCCGTTTGCGCGTGTGTGTGTGTGTGTGTCACAGGCATGGCATGAAAGTCGCTGGAAAAGTTTTCGCTGCTCGAAGCATGCGTTCTGCCAAATAGTTTTCTTTTTTTTTTTTTTTTTTTTTTTTTATCGTACGTAACTTGCTCGCGATGCAATAGTCGCTTGAACTACGCAACTAATCACGCAACCGCTCGAGATGCAAACGCATACGCTGTCGAGATCGTAGAACTGTCGGCAGAGCGTACCGCGGTGAGCTTAATTCCTTCACCGACTGTCCTCGTTCGTCAGTTTCCTGGGCCGGAGAGGGTAACGGAAGCATCGGCGCAGAGCGCCTGTCCCACAGCTTGCCGGGCAGTCCTGCCGACCGGAAGCCCAACTTCGAGGTCATCGGCAGCGCGGAGAGCTTGGTTGGCCGAGTAAGTCTCACTCCCTGTTATTATTCCGCGAAACTTGACCAAAAATCCTCCAATTAGCTTTCAAATCTCTTCTGTCAAGTAAAAACAAAAAAAAAGAAAAGAAAAGGTAGCAACACATTGTACGCGTGCCTAAAGCAAAATGTTAAAAAAACCTGCCTCTGATTACTAGTGCACTGTGAATATTTATTTCTTCTTTTTTAGTTCCTCGACGAAAAGTAGTTTTATAAAGTACTACTTTATTCTGGTTAATAAAAACAAAATACCAAATACTGAATTGTACATGCAACGTAAAACGTGTTGATTTTAATATATTTTAGTATATAGGTAAAATTGATTTCAAGGCAAAATAATATATCCATATCTTGTAAATATGATATCTCGGATAGACTTCCATTTTTTACGATAGTAACCATATTTTATTATTTTTTTGTTAATAGAATTTCACAATTTTCAACTCTGTTACAATAGTTGCATTATAAAGATAATGTCACAAGTATGTGACACCATCTTTATACACGACTTAGTTTCAGTATTAAAATTTTAATCCCTGAGCACGATAAATCATATATAAATTTATACATAATAACTTTTACAATTTTCGATGCATCGTAAACTTTAAAAAAACAATTATCCTCCCCAAGATATTGCACCTTCGTCGAAGGCTATTTCTTGGTTAGGTTCGAAATCGAAGACTATTTCTTGGTTAGGTTCGTAATCAAAGGCTATTTCTTGGCTAAACATTTATATTTAAAATTTGGCAATCTGATAATCTGTCAGTTCGCTTGAGAAAAAGTTACACAGGAATCAACGATATTATTCTCAACACTTAACGGACGGGCCACGTAGATTTACGTTTTTGCTTGAATTTTTATCACGGTGCGTTAGTTTTTCATTTTTATGCGCATTCGGTTTTTTTCTTGTTACCATTAGTTGTAGTACTATCTATCTGTCGGACTTGTTGCGCAGTTTTGCTTTTTACGTA